AAAAGCAGCTTTATTGCTGAGCTCTCCCAAAAACAGAAGATACAACAAAACTGAAATTAAGTTTAAACTGGAAACTACTCAGCTCACGAAACACAGACACTCTGAGGCCACAGCTACATACATGGATGACACAAGAGAGGGAGACACAGACAATATATACACAAAAGGAAATCAGGACAGAGAGGCAACACCTGGAGAACACGGCTGAATGTGATCTAAATGACGAGGCAGCAGATGCAAAACTGAACAAGAAGCACACAAGACAAGACACTGTCAAAGTAAAGCAGGAAGACACACACGATGAGAAACAAACTTAGACACACGAGCTTTACACGGGGACCGGGGAGAAACCCATGAACAAGACAGACTAAACAAGAGACGTGGAACACAGGAGAGGTATGATAACAGTAACCAAAAGCCAAGATAACAAAACCAAGACCAGAAGAAAGTACAAATAAGGAGCATAGCAGAATTTCATGACTATAAGAAACAAAACCTAGAACACAAACTTAACAAAATAGTAACAAAATCCTGAATGACAAAAAATGCAAAAAATAGAACTATAATATACGGATAATGCACTAGAAAACTCCTAAACATTCCCAAAACTCAAAACCCCTGCATCACAGACCCTGGACCATGACAGTAACTGTAAACAGCCCAGTTTTGGTTGCAGTTAAAGAAAAGAATAGAATAGCTTTATGTGGACATGTACAACAGAACTGTGGCAAAATCCATTCACATTTAGGCAATTTTTTTTTAAATGAAAATTTGAACATTATCTAAATTCTTTTCACACTGTAAAATCTAATATTGTGTTTAACTAAAAATATCAAGTACACTGAGTTTTTATCAACTTGTTTTTAGAACTCGGTTTAAGTAAGTTGCTAGTACTTGTCATTCAAAAAGCTGATCAACTCAGGTCATTTGAGTTGTCTTAAATTAGAAAAACTAAGTAAGCTGAAAAATTTTACTACTCAGTGCGGAAGGATAAAACTATATGGTTTGAAATGCCACGTCACCACCTCCCTCCTGCCTCACACAGATCAGTCCACGTGTTTATGGCACTCAGGTTTTTTTCTGGAATATGTTGAGCAAAGCTGGAGA